GCACTCGGCGGCTGCCGCTTCCATGGCAGGCCTCCACGGCGATCATCTTCAAGGAGCGATGCACCACCACGATTTACACGGCAACTCGCACCACGACGCCTCCATGCTGCACAATTCCAACCATCAGTTGCACGAGCCGCTGGAGAAGCTGAAACGTGGTGAGTCGGTCACAATATCGAGCGGGGCTTCTCGCGCCATTTCTCTCTCCTTTCCAACCACCTCTTCTCGCGAAATCTTTCTTTCGCCGATCTTTTCGCGCTCTTTGGAAACGAGGAGGAAGGAACAGAAACGAGGAAAATGCGCGTCACGTACGCCGTAGACTTGGTTTAGGCTCGAGCTTCGACGATGAAGGATTACCCGGGTTTTTCCAGTTTTTCGTGTATCGCGGAGGATGAAATATTCCTAAGTAATTTAGCCACGTTTCGTGATACCATGTTTAATAAGGGGAACGGTTATATCCGTTTCTTTACTCGTGTTTATAAATACAGGGATATGTCCATTATCTGGGGATAAGTGAAATTAATTAGAGCGCATCGTGCGAAATTTTCGCGAGACTAGATTTTAATAGATTGTTTTTTGTTAAAAGCTTAATCGATACTCGTGTTGTTTCGCGATTTTTATTGTTCTGGTCACGATTCGTCAGGGTACTCGAATATTACTTATCGTTCCACTCGAGTGTCTCACAACTTGTATCTTTTTTTCCAACGTAACATCCATTTTCGATTTTTTGAAAACGGAAATCGAAAGATCGTTACACATTCCTTCCAGCTTCGTGTATATCTCTCTTCTCTGCACGAACAGCTAAACGCTTAAAGTGCAGACGATAGCAAAATCGTTGTCGTTGCGGTGAAAAAAAATCGAAGCTTTCTTCCAGTTTCTCGAAAAAATAAGGTAGAACGCATCGTTAAATCGTGTATTTCGAATCAACCTTTTTGAGCCAAATCACTTTAAAATCAATGAATAAATCGCTGAAAGATATTCGAGAATCGACGATTAAATTTGAGTGCAGTGGCCGAGATACAGTGTTTACAGCGTTACGTGCCAAGTATAATTGTCGCCTTTTTTTTCCTTGCCTCGATCAATCGCACCGATACGACGGAAGAACATTGCTTTTCTTCGATCGACGGCCACCAATATCGGCGATAATCGCTTGTACCGGGCTTGTCAATTCATGTGATTTTGTTATTTGCGATAATATCGATTACATCGCCGATTCGTATTCGTACAAATACACGCTCGTCGCCTTCTTGCTCCCAAATCGTACGTTGCGTCGTTCCTGTTATCTTTTCAGAAAATCTCGTATCGCTTGACGTAGCAAATTTGCACGTACGACGCACGCCAAGATTAAAACACACCTACGAATCACCTTTGTTCCCGATTCTTTTCGTTCTTTCATTATTGTGGAAATTTTTTTTTATTTATTTTTTTGTTTTTTTTTTTTGACAATCAAAAGAGAAGCTCTGTTACAGAGTTTGACGACGAGTTTTACGACTCAATTTGATTTTTATCTATGCTTCGATATTTATTTTAACGAACGATAAATTTTCCAATTTATACACCGAACGAGGATGTATAATCGGGCCGATTTTCACGAAAACACGGGTTACCATTTAACTCATGATTCGTGGTATGGAGGCGTGGATGGATGGGGGCAAATACATTTGTGACATTTCGATGTTCGAGCGAAAATTTTCGAGCGATAAAACGATATTGTACATTGATTTTTGTCAAGTGCCAACGGAGCGCAGATAAAATATTAGTACGAATAGCTTTGATAAGCACTGCGCCCGTCCTGTTATTCCAACTTTGATATACACGGCATGACGAGTAAAAAGTTGATGCAATAGGGAGACGGAATAGAATTCGAAATAAAAAGAACGAAAGAATTGTCGAGATATATTTATGCAGATGCTAATGGGTGATAGGTGTAATAGCTATAATTTCAAGGCCATTCTTAATTATTTATACGTGTAGATAAATGTACGTGTACGTTGTACAGAGAGATAAGAAATTTCGAAGTACGATTAGTGATTACTTGTGGTGTCATTAACTTGGCGTTTAAAAGGGTATTACTCTTCAGTTTTGCACAAAATTGTATACCTAATATAGGAAGAAAAAATTATAAGTTTTATTTATTTTATCTTCGAGTAGTACAACGATAATAATTTTGAATCGTGTTCTTCAATTAATATTTTTCCAAAAAAAATATAATACCTGCTTCAATCGAATATACAACAAAATTTCTTCTACTCCATAACTTTTTAACTTTGAAATTTTTCATTGAAGATAATACGTCGTCGCATCTTCGTTGCTCGTAGTTTCTGATAATCGCATTTACTTCAATTTAAAAAAAAAAAGAAAAATAACAAAAAAGTCGTATTTTCCCTGATGCCAAAATTTCTCTATTTCTTTATCAGGGATACAACTATATCGCGTCAACTGAAACACGTTTTGTGTATACCACGAGCTCGAAATTCCCTTCAACGAGCCTTATCTTCTCGAGATGGTTCCAAAGGCGAAGAGCGTGCGTGGCGGCCTAATTTTTCTCATTGAAAAGCGAAACGCACAAGCGGGACGGACGATGGTGTTTCGAGGCCGAGAAGATAAAGAAGAAACGGAGACAACGATCGCGTGAACAAACATCGAGACACAGAATTCCGGGCATATATATATATATATATCTCTTTATAAATTCCACTTCTCTCTGAAAAAGAAGAGAGAAAGAGGAAAAGAAAGAAAG